AAAAAAAAAAAGAAAAGAAAAAAAAAAGCTGCTATTGCTGGCTGTAACTCCTCTCATTCTAAATTTCTAAAAATTCAAAGGGATCAGGCATGGTGAAGTCACTGTCTGTTCCACTGATTTCAATGGGAATTAAAATGGTACCTCAGAAATCAGTGCTGACAGCAAGATAAGGTAAAYGCCATCCAGAGGTTAAATGCAGATCTGAACACATATTCAGTTACCGAATCCCCTGTTCCCCTTAAGATTAGGATTTATGTGATTAAAAAAAAAGACAAGGAAATTTTGTGGCCAAGGAAAGGAACTCAAGTCTCCCAATTCCTCACCCAGCTCCCAGGCCATTGTATCASCCCTCTTTTCATGGCCCCATTGACTTCAATGGAAGCATTCAGAAGAGTGTGCACACAGATGAGGTCCTCACAGTGAAACACAATCTCATGTTGCAAATCTGAAAGGGAACAAGTGCAGGCGATTCCTCTGTAGAGGTTCTGATTCATCAGTGGGTCACGGCTTAGTTTTACAGCAACCATCTRATGTAAGGCAGGAAAACAACCTTTYTTATATAATCCCACATGGAGAAAGAAAGATATGTACACTTGCAAGAAATTTAGACTGTACAGTTGGTGTTCACAATAATGAACCCCCAAATCCATTAAAATCATGAATGAAAGAGCACTAAGGATGAAAGCAGTAAAATACACAAGCTTCACACCCATGGTACAAGTTTAGGTGACGTCGCCACATAACAGTCAGATAAAGTCATAAACTCCACACAAAAGAAATCCCGTAATCCCTGACAATCTTATTCAGGAGATTTTTTTTTTCTGGCACCGGAACTGGATGACTTGCACCGTCTTAAGTTTTAAAACACAACACACATGAGAATCTTTGCAGCATTAATAACTGCAGGATGCCAAACATCCCATCACTGACTGAAACCAGTTCTTGATGTACCAGGGCAAAACAGAACCAAAGTTCCAAGGACCAAGTTAAAAAAACTAAGTTAGCATCACCATTTAGCATCCTGCACTACATTTTGCTTTAACTGTTGTGTAGTACAATTGTCTTGATGAAATCAAACATAACCTTCACTCTCCAACAACCAATCAAGCATCTGGTAAATTTAAAAACAACTTTCAATTTATCATTTTAGGAGTCATGGTTTGCATTTTAAAATTTCTTCCCACACATATTGTATTTTCTTCTGWAGTGAATTAATGTTTCCTGAACAGACATTATAATCAAAGTAAACCTTATAAGGTGCAAATGATGTGCCTTAATTTCATTTTTAAAAGAGATGAAAATTTGCTAATAAAAAACATACCATAAACCATAAGTTTAAAAATCAGATAGATGCAAGACCTCTGGGAACAGTTTAAATGCAGACATGCATAATTATGCAATTCTGGYAGGAAAAATGCCTTGTTCTAACTGGAAGTTTAGACAGGTCAGGATTTATTCAGATGATATCAGTCAGAAAGTGATCTGTATGTTTCACAACACTGCCTAACACTGAAACTCTGAGTTACCTCTCATTAGTGATTTCGTCCCCATCTTCAATAATTACACCAGAATAATCCAGCTATATCCCCAAAGAACTTCAACAGTGCTTTTATTACACATTAGGATATGATTAATAACAACAATACTTTGTTTATTTTGCTTGTTTTTACTCCAGGCTATTTCCATCCCAGAATGAGAATCATTGTTTGTGTTTGGGGAGTGCAAAGCAAGTGCTCCAGTGGCTATAGAAAAGTGAGATTCAAAAGYGATTCACATTTGACAGTGCATTTTGCCACTGAAAACTGACAGTTGAAGTGGAAGAAATATGCATAAAGAGGCTTAAAACAAATCTGCAGTCCTTCTGGATTCTGAAGTGCTTCTACAGCATGCAATGGCTTTGTTGTATACACCCAAATGCTAATAATCTCTGTTCAAAAGGAACGCTGGGCCTTTGACAGAAATTAAATAACCTGCAAAACTTCATGTTGTCAATAAGCTTCAGGGGAAAAAAAGGATGGTGAGGGGAAAATGGCAACTGCAAAGCCCTGAATCTCTCTTTGCATCAGTCGTGCCAGGCACATTCAATGCCTACACAAATTGAAGCAGCACCTTCCCAGTCTCCATCTCACAGCCAGCACAGAGGGACCAAGAGACCTGAGGGGACTGGGCCACCCTTGGCATCGKCTTCAAAAAGTGGGGACACAAAATGCATTTTGTGATGGAAAAATTGGAACGTAACTGTGGTAGTGCCATGTTCTATTATCACTTCAGAGTCTCATTTAATTTCCCTTCTGTATGTTTAAACTTCAACTAACAAAAATACATCACATGGAAATTTTTCTACTTACATGTACTTAAGCCATTGCAAACAAAAGTTTTAGCATGAAGATGTTGAAAGCTCCTACTTATCTGGAACACAAGCTTAATTCATCTTGGGTCATGGATAATGGTCTAGCCCAACTTTGTGGGAAATTCTTGGATCACGTGATGACTAAAATCCTTTACGCAAYGCCATTTTTCTTCCAGTCTTGTATCTGTAAGAGGCAATGCTGGCACTTCTGCTTTTCAGTGTGGCACTCCTGAATTTGAMTGGAGATCACTAAAGTACCTACCTAGACTACACCAGCAGTGCTAAAGTTATAAAATTCCAGTATTTGCCAGAACTATTTTTAATYAAATTTTTCAATTTTCTCCTCCATATAGGTTTCTTCTTGTATGTTGTTCCAGTCTATGGTTTTTTTTTATCTTTCTTTATCCTTTTACATTTTAAAACTGTGGAAAAAAATGTTTTTATACTGAAAATATATAAACAAAATATATAAAAATATTCCTACAGTTTTTATTTTCATTTATAGGAAAYCAAAGAGTGCCCTGGAGAAGGGAGGCTACAACATTACACATTAAGTGTGCCCATACCTGATCAARAATCCCATTTCAGGAACATCTTTTGTTAACCTGACACGCTCCACATGTGGAAACATGCCATAGTGCAAGCCTGATGCACAGCCAGTGGTGCAAGCTTCCCTGGCCAGGTGTCRTCTCCTGCCCTTTTCAAGAGAATCCCTGACTCATGGCAGAAAACATGAGAGAYTGTGCTTTTGGGGTGCTGAGCCAGACAAGCAGCAGTCTATCCTGGAGTAAACATAACACATGAGTGGCACCCTTCATACAGAGGCTCTGGCCTGAAGATCAGCTTGAAGTTTTRTTTGGGATTTTAGGATTAGCTCCATATCAAGGGCTTCAAAGACTGACTCAAACAGTGTGAGTCACTCAGCTGCTTTCTAGTGTTACTTTTCCATTGCACCTCTGTGAGTGTGAGGCAGATGAGAAGTGCTCCATGTTCTCAAGTCTTGCATATCCAAAACAGTCTGGACTCTTTCTTTTATTTCAAACCAGGCTGGAATAATCCAATATGTAGCACATGAATCAGCCAGTTATACCGAGGTCACATCTTCACACTGGTGAACAATGGAATGTAAAACTAGAAAGGAAAATTAAGCTAGAGCCACAAGAAATATGATCAGACCTGTGCCCTCAGCATAAATCTGGAACTTCAGTCTTCAATATTAGAGTTATATTAACTGACCTGTGAGTTTTTCCAGAACATCAAATCCATGTTTCAGAGCAATGATATCAAGAAAAGAGACTGTACCATCTTCAAACCTAAAGAATGGAATAAATGAGCACAGTAATTAAAACATGCAGCYATAGTAAAGATTTTAAATCAATTTTAAGAATTACTGTTTTCATATTCAGTGCATCTAACATGCAGAGTGGGAACTCTTCCCTTAGGGATTCATCTTCCAGTCTTGTAGTGTCCTGTGAAGCAAAAATATGTTCTCCAAAGCAATAGAGGATCAGATGAACAGTTGCTTGCTCACAGAAAGGTATTATTTTCTCCTACACGGAGTAACTAATGTACAAACCTACATAAAGTATTCATTAACACATATGTGTCACTAGCTTGTCACGAGGCCCTAAGTTACCTTCAGGCAATTTAGGGAATATGTGAGTATTCCATATGTGATGTATGTCCATCCCTCTACCCCCCATGTAATTACACCTAATACCAGTGAGTTAGAGGGTTCCAGTATTCTGGTGCAAAGAGGAATCAAAAGGTCACTAACAATTCTCCCTCTGTGTACTTCTCCTGGAAATTCACTTTTAACTGGCCTGTAACAAGAGCACTATGCAGGGATATGGGTAAGGGTGCATCCCCTATCATCACCTTTTAAAGGGAGCACCAAATAGAAATTGCTGGATTTAACGAACTACTGCAGCCATTCCCACAGTTCAAGAGGAGAAGGTGAACCTCTGAGGTGAGAATTTACTGAGGAATTGATGCACTAGAGCATTGCAAGGGGCCAGAAGGGACACCAGGCAAGCGTGTTTCATTTAGGCTTTGTGTGCACCACAGGCCACAAGGAGTGGTCATTCATTCACCACGACGAATACAGAATAATGCAAGTGATGGAGTCAGAACTGTGAAGAACTCAATACTTTGCAAAGCTRAACCTGGGGCACAGCAAGTCTCTGAGGAAGGAGCTGTGTCCAAAACTGTAACAGTAAACGCTGGAAATGAAGCCACCAGCAACCCCAAATTTCATGTTTTAATTTAAAATTAAACTCATGAGGAAGAGGCCCCCACAGGGACCTGGTGCTCCTTGGATCTTTCTCAGAAAGGTCAGATGATATCTACATTGAAGAATTTTTGAACAAGGTGGAACATAACASAGGCACTTTTGGGCAAAAATACTTTACATATGCATGTTTTAGATCAGAAAACAGGGGATTACGTTTTTCCTCTGTACAAATTTTCATAATGCATGTTAAAAGCTTTTGGTGCCACAATTACGTATATATTGTGAAAAGGCTCAAAATTTAAAAATGTCAGACATGAAATGCTTTTTCTTTCATAAAATAAACAACAATAGAATAACATAATAGCTCTCACTTCAATCATAATTTTTCTTACTTCTTGTTTTTTTCTGTAGTTATGAAATGTGTGAAACACTGCAAGTGACACCATCAGGTGAAGGATACATTAACCTTCCAAAAATATTTGGTAAAGGTCCACACAAAAAAAAAAAAATGCAAGAATATTGTGTATATATGATTAYACACAATTCATTCAGTACATTCAGCTGTAATGAAAGAAGATAGAGGCAGCAAATAGTTATGAACCTAGTGATAAGAGAAAAGGGGTGGACTGCCTCAAGGATGAATGGCACAAAGGAGACCACATTCACATATTTTAACCTAGCATAGGCTAAAAAATCCATCCTAGGAATTTCTGAATCTTGCTTATTAATTTTTAATAATTGACCTTGAACTTTAGGGAAGAAACCTTATTGGTTATCAGTTATGAAATGTAAAATGGCCATTTGTGATTTGAAARAGACCTAAAACCAGGAATATTTTCACAGAGACCTGTGGACCAGTATCTGAGGGAAGCATTAGTCTGTCCCAAAAGCCAAAAAAAAAGGTAGAAGGATGAGGAAGAAAAGATAAGGCAAAGGCAACAGTCGTTTTGGAATTGAACACAGAAAAACATTAAAAACTTGCACTGGCTGCAGAAAAGGTCACAGTGGTCCCACATGTCTGCCAAGGAGAGATTACAGAGAGGATCTGTGAGGGGGAACTGACCTGCTCTGCTCAGTTACTCACAATGGCCAGAAAAGCAAACAAAACACTGGGAATTGGATCAGAGCAGAGACACCGGCACTGAGCCCATTAAGGAGATGCACAGTCCCAACAATTTTAYCATTATTACAGCAGGAAAGCACTTGTAAGGGCAACAAAGGTGCCAGCCTAGATCATCCAAGGCCTCTGAGTCTTATCTATAGTAAAAGGGGAGGCAACAATTGCATTTCTGTTTTTCAGATATGATTATTAATGAATCAGACAACTGCAGTACATCCATTGCTACACAATAGGACAGATGCATGAACCATGATAGTCTTCTAAAATCTTAAAGATTTTTATGAAAACAGTTCAGAACTTAGGAATCTTCATACAAAATAAAAAAAAAAAAAGAAACAAACAGAAAAACAAAAAGCAAASAAACACAGTTGTGGGGTTCTGGTCAAACCCTTATGCTCCAGAACAGTACAACTGTTGCAGCATGATATGCATCCTACATTTAGTCTTTTGGCTTCACAACAAAAAAAAAAAAAATTACCTCCTGGAAGCTCTACGGCAAGACCCAGAAGGCACAAAAGAAATAGAAATAATGCTAAAGATACCTATTCAAAGATATGGGCAAGTCTCTCTTTCTACAATTTAGACATGGAGTGTTTTGCAACATTCACCTCTTGTATTTCGTTTGCTCATCTGGCCACCTTTATTCCTACATCACCAGATTTCCAGTTCTGATTAACAGTGCACGGATATTGTGTTGTTCCTATAATATGTATATTTACACTACTTCTGGTTCACTTCACTCTCACATATAWTCTTCAGATTTAGTGAACACCTGATGTGGAACTTCACATCAAAATTTTCAGTAATCATTTATAAATTCTGATATTTAGCAAATTAAGCCTTAAGTGCTATTGCAATAGTGCCATGGCAAAACATGCTACGAAGGGCAGCAATTCCCTTCCTGGGACACAAACAGCTCTCTCTCAGAATACTTAACTGTATTCAAAATTGAGAGCAAACACGGTCCTTGAATTGCAAATACTGGCTTCAATGGCTACTTTTCTATTTGGTGCGATTGATGCTTCMAATAAWCTGCTTCCCTACTSAATGGCAGYTCCAGTGTTAGAATAATCAGTTCAGGATGAAGTTCATTTGAATGCTGGTCTAGAAGCCACTTCCTGAAGTAATCAAGATTTTGCAGCTGATGATGTATAAAGGATACTTACAAAGGCTAATACTGCAGAATACCAACCCAAGAAACAAGAAGCTTACCTCTCTTATCTAGTTCTTATTATAATTGATCTCACTTAATCACGTCTGGGATGAGCTCAGTTACTTAGCTGATTGTGTTTGTGAAGTGCTAATAGCATTTCACATCCAATTGCTATCTGACAAACTGGCTAAGCAACTCTTAGCATAACAAAGAAGAGAGCAGCCTGCCTAAAATCTTTCCAGGAGCTATGAAGCTGATGAGCTGCTCTCCTTTTCCAAGTCACACACAACCTCTGCTTCTAGAAACAAAAATTTTTGAGTCACAAGAGAAAATTATTGCTTTACAGCCAGCAGTYCTGCCTTTAGTTTCTTCCTGGGGATGGAGATAGGCTCATCTTTCTTTGAATCTGTTCAACTGTTGTGACACTTCYCTGTTACACTTCTGCATACAAATGTTATTTTCTAAAGTCACCATCTCACACTTCAGGGCAACTGAAACACAGAAGCCATGTGGGCAGTTTCAATTTATCCTGTCCTTAGCCAGGTCACTTTCACACAGAAATATTATAAGAATTCTGGCCTGGACAGATGTGAGTGAAAATAAAGTGCTGAAAGGCTATAAAAATCCTTCATGTTTGAAAAGAGGACTTAGACGAAAACTTGGTGGAAGGCAAAAATATTACCCTGGAGCTGRACAGCACTGTCTTAAGTCAAGAGTCCAGAAATGCCCTAAAGACCAATCAACCAATGCTGAGGTGGTGAAATATCTTGCATAACATAAGCTATTCTGAATATGAAAAGTATACAAGACGTGGCTTTTAGGAACTTTGAGTGGAAGCATTTGCTGGTGAATTATGGGAATGCTGATTAGCTTAGCAGGAAAATGAGTGATTCAGCTGTTTGGAATTTTTTTTTTCTTTTTCTTTTTTTTTTTTTTTTTTTTTGTTTTTTTTTATTTTGGTGTCTGGTGTGGTTTTTTTTTTGTATTTGCTTTTTTGTTTGTTTTTGTTGTTGTTGCTGCTGCTTTTGGCTTTTTTTGTTGTCGCTTTTTGTTTTTTGTTTTTTTGCTTTTGTCCACATAAAGCAAATCCAAACTAGAACCACTCTACACAGGATCACAGAATCACAGAATACCCGACTGGAGGGAACCTCAAACATTGTCCAGTCCAACCTTTCTTGGCAAAAGCATGGTCGAGACAGGATGGCACAACACCCTGACCAAATGAATCTTAAAAGTGGCAATGATGAGGAAACCAGTTGCCCCACCATATTTAAATTATTCCTACAATATCACAACTTTCTGACTAGGCATGGGGCTCCAGTTCCTCCTGTCTTTTTCCCAGGCTATATGCACTGATATGTGTACACTTCAGGTAGTTGGTGCTCTAGCTCTCACCTTGGGAGGCAGTTGAGGAACATTTCCACACATGCAATTTCTATCCAGAACACAGGCCAGAGCACTGAAACTTTGATAAAATTCCCCTATCAGGGTCAAAAATAATCCTGCTCATTTGAAAGCTTTGGTGAGTCAATGCAAAGCGCAACAAAAGAGCGCGGCAGGGAACATCACTGTCAGCCAGCTGCCACTCTCCTTTACACCAGGGTAATGACTCCATTTAGGTCAAACGAACACAAGTCATTCCTGAGTTTCTAAAGCAGGTGAAAGAGAAACCAAATCCTCAGAGAATGCATATTTCTTGAATAAGCCGCTTTTYTTTTTTTTTTTTTTCTTTTTTTTAAACACTCCTCAGGAGCGGAGCTGCCCTTTGAAGTGAGATGTTACATGAGTTCCTTTCATCTTTTCAATT